AGGTTGTTTCGCCCTAAAACATTTTTTTTAGGGCGAAACATTGTTTGGTATTTTCTTTTCATTTTTATTTGTTTTAAGTCACAAATTAAGTCTTTTTAGTCTTTCATATCATTAAAATAAGTTTTATTTAAAAAAAAAAATGTGTTTGTATTGTTTTAAGTACATTGTAAAGCAAAAAACGGATTACGTTATTTTCTTAACGCCGACACACATTATAACATATATTGAATTTAATTTTAGAAATAAGTAAGAATAGTGAAATGAAACAAAAATGGTGTAATTTTAAAAATTGCGAACGGGATTTGGGGCGAAACAACCCGTTACCCGTAGATCATGCGTGATTTTGCGAGATCAGCGAGAGTTGCCAATCTCTGTATTTATACGTCTCTGGTACCAGAGAACTCACCTTCTACTTGTTTTGGCAGCCGTCAAACAGTCCCAACTTGTTAATTTCATTTAATAATTTTCAACCCCGAGAGTGAAATCCATTGTATCGATTTTGTCATAAACGACACCTGGAGTACGTTCTGGCATTGCATATAAAGGAATATTGCAAATGTCAGACAACATCTGAAAGTCGAGTTCCCGACCTGTAAGGCTGTATGATGCTGTATAATGTCTAAATATAGCAGACGTTTATCATGTGACAACGAGGGTGAGCAATCAAAGGGAGCAGCATGATGGACGCTAATTCCTGTAGGAACTCTATATCTAAATCAGAGATTATAAATCTCTGATTTAGATACAGTAGAGTTCCTACAGGAATTAGATGGACGCATGTCAGAAGCAACGTCTGCTTTAACTTTAAGCAGATATCTTCAACTTATATATGTAACGGTTAGCACACCTGTGTATAACTAATGCAGTACGTGTGGTTCAATATTATAGTGTCAGAGGTCTTCCTCAAATTCACGAAATAAGAAACCGTCGATAGGCTAGTCGTCTTTTCGTCTTTTCACCTTGGTCAAAATATACATTAACACTTACAATTTTTGCGACTACCGATTAAAACATTTTTAGGATACAGATGATGCAGGGAATCGGACGCTTTCGTTTTGTCACGGTGCGTTCGTGTCGAAAATGTATGACTGTCTCGATAGATAGCTAGCTATATATAGGGCTGTTATAACATTCGCGTATCCCGGTTGACGCCACTCGTTAAAACGGTACATGTGGCGCAGAAATATTCCACGATAAACGAAACTGTGCATTTTAGCTCTGCTTATAGAACGGTCCAACCGCTCTATAAGCAGAGCTAAAAATGCAGTTTCGGATATCAAGAATATATTACCCTTCTTTCTAAGTTAATCTAATTAAAATCAGATCATGCCCGACCAAACCAGAATGGTTACCCAAAATTGGCAAATCGGATCAATTTTTGCAAAAATACTTATAAATCAATAAATGTGTCAGCAAGTCAGTTATAACAATGATGTAATCTTAGAATAGATAGCCAAGCACCGTCTTTTGTCTACAGATGATTAGTTTTAAGTTCGAATAGCACAAGAAAACGTAATTCAAACTCAAATGTCAGGGTTTTGATTATGTTTTTAAAAAATGGCGCGTGCGACGACTATGCATTCAGTTTTGGACTATAGGAATAAATTCACACTATAGAAATACTTTTTTTTTCATATTAATTCTAAGGGTCATCATAAAATGTTAATATGTTGACAAAAAAAAAAAATTGAAGCGTAATTAAATACTGCAAAATTCAAGCCTTGATTCGATTTGGGTCCCGACATTCGCAAAAACCGGAGACGCTGATTGGTGACTTCAGAGCGTTCTATAAATATCTCAAGTGAGCCCCGGCGCTAATTTCGTTTGTAAGAACATCCATCGATATTCTTCCTTTGATACAACCACGGAATTAGATTAGAGTCCGTGATACAACCATAAATGGATATAATTCCTCCTCAGATTTTTCAATGATGATTTGGTGTTCCGATTTGGGTTACAGTCCTATCATTGTGACAACTGGTTCCATTCAAAATGTAGGTTATTCATATTTTATATCTGCTGCAAATAACATGAACGAGCAAATAGCAGCAGTGAATTGTTTTGTTTCACTTGTACGCTTTTATTTTTTTCTGAATCGTTCTTCTTTAATATACTATAACCCGAAACAACAATACATGGGGAAAATACAGGATTCAAAGAAACCATGTCAACAAACTAAAGAAATTCTCCATAAACAATTATTTCATGGAAAGATGTACTTGTGGAGCTAAGAACTCTGATTTCTGGCCTACAATCAAACCATTCCTTTCGAACAAAAACAAACACCAATCTATCTAACATAGTTTTATTGGAAGATGACCAAATTAATTCTGACAAAACTGAGGTATGCCAAACTTTTAACAACTTTTTTGTAAATGTCGCTAATGAAATAGGAGAACACATTGATTTTAACCCAGACACACACGAGAGCATTAACAAAATCAAAGAAACTCAGACCAAAATTTGCAATTTAATTTCACCACGATTCAGGAAGAGGATATTACAAAAATAGTTTCACGTTTAAACATTAAAAAGGCTCCCAGTGTAGATCACATCAGCGCAAAACTCATCAGAGCAGGACAACACTCCCTTACCCCTTATATAACCAAACTCATCAACACAACCATCACTTCTGGAATTTTCCCCGACAATTTAAAGCGTGCCCAAGTCCAACCCATTTACAAGAAAAAAGACAGACTAGATAAAGGTAACTATCGCCCAGTCAGCATACTACCATCCATATCCAAGATCTATGAACGAACACTTTTTAACCAACTCAGCAAATTTTACGACCATATTTTTGACAACTTTCTCTGTGCATTTAGGAAAGGATATGGATGCCAAACCGTACTTTTAAGAATTATTGAAGACTGGAAACAAAAATTAGATGATAACAAATATGTAGCTGCTATTCTAATGGATCTATCTAAAGCATTTGATTGTCTCCCACATGAAATTCTTCTTGCCAAATTATCAGCCTATGGAGTTTCGGAACATTCATCAAACCTAGTAGAAAAGTATCTTATCAACAGAACACAAAGAATCAAGATTCAAGACTCTTTTAGCAGCTGGAGTAATATCATAAAGGGGGTACCCCAAGGCTCAATCTTAGGCCCACTTCTTTTTAACGTGTTTGTTGATGACATCTTCCTCGCTGTAAAACACTGTCAACTATGCTGATGATAATACCCTATCACACTCATCTACAAACTTAGAAAAACTCACATCCGCACTCGAAGAAGACACCAAAAATCTCACACACTGGTTCGATATAAATAAAATGAAAGCTAATCCTGACAAATTCCAAGCACTTGCAACAGGTAAAAAGACCTGGTCACAAAACATTTCTTTTCAAATAGATGATATTTCGATACCATGTGAAGAAAGTGTAAAACTACTAGGTTTTGACATTGACTTTAGCTCTCTTTCGATCTCCACATCAAAACCATATGTAGAAAAGCCTCACAACAACTAAATGTACTCTACAGAATTAGAAAACACCTGAGCAGACTAAATAAACTCACAATTTTCCACACCTTCATACTATCACACTTTAATTTTTGCCCACTCTCCTGGCACTTCTGTTCGGAAACAAATGTTAAAAAAATTGAGAAAATTCAGTATAGGGCACTCAGATTTATTTATGATGACTTCTCAAGCAACTAGGATGAACTTTTGACCCGGGCAAAGATACCTACTTTGAAAATTAGAAGAAAGAGGCAAATGGCTATAGAAACCTACAAAATCATACACAAAACCACACCGCTATGTCTCCACATCATTGTCACACCCAAGTCTCAAAATTACAGCTTCAGATATACAAACATTTTGGACATCCCACATGTTAAGACTACTACATACGGTATACAATCCTTCAAATATGCAGCAGCCTGTCTTTGAAATAATCTTCCTGAAAACTTTAGGACCACAACAAATTACGGCCATTTTAAATCTTTAATATCCTCCTGGAATGGAACCAAATGTAAATGTGCAGCCTGCAAATAATAAATATCTCACCTTACTCTAACCTCATCTTCTCTTTATCCAGCCTACAGTGTCTCCATTGAAAACTTTTAATTTCAAAGCATTGTTTTAATTTAATTTAATTTAATTCAATTTATTAATATAATTATGGTATATGGACTTTGAGTGTTGTGAAACACTATACCTATTATCAAAGTAATATATGAACAATATGTGTGTGATATTAGTAATTGATGTCTTAATGTATTGCATTTTATGTATGTGTATATGTATATGTCGGTCAAAAGCTCTTCAGAGCTTATGTTATTTTGTTATATACCCACCGACTCGAAATAAAAATTATTTTATCTTATCTTATCTTAATATCTTTTCTTCAACGAATCGGGTAACTTTGAAATTTTGGACGACGAGAGTGATCTCCCTTCTACCGCTAAATTTTACAACATTTTTTACATTTGTATGCCCGATCTATTTTACTTAAAATCAGTGAACTCCTAATAGTAGCTAACTATTGCAGAGCAGCGATTTTATCTATAACTGAAACCTGGCTCTATCGATGGCTCAGTGACTAACTCAGAAATTGACAAGACAAGATAAGGATAGGGGGCGGATTTTTTTATTTAAACATATTTTATTGCCTTAGTGCAATTGGACTGGGCACAATTCATGCAACTTATATAAAGCCCTTTCAATAAAAAAATGTCAAAGAATGATACAACAAAATTAGAAGATGGCACACCAAAACTACTTTAGAAATAAGGTAGCTAAATGGCAAGTTCTTGTGCAAGCGCTTGTTCACTCATTTTCACACTTAAACACACACACACACGCACACTATAAACATTTGTGGACAGAGAGAGATGTCTAGTATTAATAGGTAACTGGTTCCACAGTCAAAGTGCTGAAGGAAAGAAGGAATAGATAATTCAAGTCTGTTGTTAGGCAAGTTGTAGTTTTCTGCATTTCGAAGGTTATATCGAGGGTTAGCGACAATTACGGGAGGGAGTAGAGTACTGAGCTAGTTAATAACAATATTATTATGAATTTTATAAAATAGTTGGAGGTTCCCATTCGGTTTCAGCATATAAAAAGTGTCTACTAGCATAGGGAGGTAAACCAGTAACAATGCGTCCAGACTCTAATTGTAGCTTTTCTAATTTATCTGTTCGCAACAATATTCAAAAGTTGGAAGTATAAATGATCTGTATATCTTATTTAATGTACATCCGTTTAGGGTATATTTTAATTTACGGAGGACACCTAATTGTTTCACTACTTTTTTATATCACGGAATAAGACTAGCCTGTGTTGCTCTTTAAGTCCGTTATCACATATTACCAATGTGATCGCTCCACTTATGCATCGATAGGGGGCGGAGTTTGCACATCTAGGAGATGAAACACTTTTTATCGAAATACACTTGCCAAAAACCAAACCTACCATTGTTGGGACCTGCTACAGACCACCCAAACAATCTGATTTTATAGAACAGTTTGAAAAAATATTGCTGCAGCTCAGAGCAGACTAAAATTATTATTCTTTGTGACTTAAATATGTGCTGCCTTGATAAGCAAGGACCTTTAGATCAAAATTATACCAATGTTTTGAAAT